ACATCCCTTTGGGGAAATCAACCTTGCGTGCGTCGAAATAGTGGAACGCAGGGTGGTGGTCTTTCACTTTGCTGCTTGTGAAATCGATGGCGCACATGTCTGTAAATGAGTTGATGAAATAGAACCTCCCTTGAAACGCCGCAACCGTGGGAATCACCCTCTTAGTTGGAGGGCGATATGTGTAGTTACCGATGTCATATGAGTAATGCCTCCAGCTCCAGCCTCCAGGTGCTGCTGGTCTCGTCGTTGTCGTCTCCGCCATTGCCATTGATGACGTGGCAGTACCACAAGTCAGGCGTGGAAAGATCGAAGAGCACGACGACGCATCCGGCGGGGCGTGTGGGGTCCTTGTGGGAGAGCAGGCACCTGCAGCTCTCTGGGAACCGGTGTTCCTCCTCTCTGATATCTGGTAAGAGAAGCTTGTCGCCGGTGCTAGGGTTCCATAGATAAGCCGAAGACGCCGCCGCCATGCATGTCGTCGGTGTCCTCATGGCCCTGGGTGACGAGGAGCATCCAGCCTTGTGGCGTGGCCCAGCACATGCTGCTGCTGCTGCTGCCTGCTGCAGCAAGAAGAAATCCATGCTTCATGTTCTTGTGCAGGCTTTGTTTGGATATGCTGAACATTAGCATCTCGTCGTCATTGTTGTCCTCCTGTTGGCCGTTATTAGGATGGTGGTGGAAGACGAGCAAGGGCAAACACGACAACATGGACGACGATCCAAATTTACTAGCGTCGTCTGCATGTTCCGCCATGGTTTTTCTTCCTGGACGACGGTACGCCAATTAGGTTAGGCTGAGGAGATACTAGGGCGACAATTGATCTGATTGGAATTGGAAGGCTTATTGCCTGATACCCGGCCGCCCTCAGCTATATATATACAGGAGGGAGGATAATTAAGATCGATTATCATAAGAGTTTGATCGGCGGCCGTGCATGGTGACAGGATCGGAATCGGAACGGTGTGGTTCAGGACAATGTGTTGGTTTCCGGCCGCTTCCCAAAACCGATTCAGTCTATTTCCAAACAGAAGGTGCGTTGGGGTGTCCTATGCACGTACGACAACAATCCAATTAGTATAGTACAGTTCGGACTATTGTGGAAGCAGCGGTCGGAAAAAAAAAAGACTATTGAGGAAGCAGCCACAAATTGCAAACTTGTTGGCATGAAAAATCCAGGTTTGGTTTTTTTTTTTACTAGTAAACGTGCCGTACGTTGCAACGAGAGAAAAAAGCTATCATCAAATACTCTCTCCATTCCAAATTATAAGTCACTTTAACTTTTTTTTACATCTATTTTGCTATGCATCTAGATATATAGTAAAATAAATAAACAAAAAAATCAAAACGACTTATAATTTAGAACGAGAGAGTATTCATGAAAATTAAGAACCGAATGTTACATATCTATTTACATTCACTTTTTCTATAAAATTTTGAAGCTATAATTTATTAATTTTATGATAACTATGACATTCATAATATAAACTAATTTTATGTCATCATTTTAATATTACATTGGTACATGCATATTAGACACATTTATTTAGATTCATATGGACAATATAGTTCACGATTGATTAGTTGGATCATCGGTTAAATCAGACTATAATAAGATAAATTATGTTTCTAATCAAAATTTCATCAATAACTTTAGTGATGTAAATCTCTATTTTTTAAGGGAGAGATGAATTTCAACGGCTCTTACTATTATTATTATATCTATTGTTTGTTTTTTAATATTTATATGATAATAGAAAAGAAAAAAAAAAGAAGGAAAAATCAATCGGAAGTAAACGACACATGCAATCGGATACGGAAAAAGAGGACCGTAAAAAAAAACCGAAATCAATCGGTTACGGTTTACGGCCAGAAGCTAACGTACGGCCGGCTGTATTTTGGCTTACCGCACGGCCCTTCCTTTTTAGGTAAAAAGTGCAATTACTGATTTCTATTTTCGGCAAGGATACTAATTAGCATTTGTTTTTGGTGGGATGCTGCCAGGACCTGATACCGACCACAATTTGCACATCTCTACGTCCACAAAAAAGCAAAATAAAGCCCAAGCATATACTTTTAGGTACTACATATATACGTTCACAACAAAAGGGCGATGGTTTTCAGAAAAAGAACACATATAAGAAAAGAAAATATTTGCATCTGCAGTTTTTCTAAAAGAACAACACTATACATCTGGTTCCGCACATTTGCACATCTTCTCTATACATGGCCCGCATCTTACTTCCTTGTGGCATGACCTGCATTTCAGCATGTTAAAAAAAAGATAAACATGTGTCATAAATTTGTTGCTAGATGGAGATAGAAAAAGAAACTTATGTTCCTTGAGCATATATTGGTGCTAGTAATGTTGCACCGAATTTAATTTTCCTAGGCAATTTAAATGTCGTCATTAGGCAACAATGTCTTCCTAATTAAGCAATTTCTGTATTCTGAAAAAGCAAGTATAGTGTTCAAACAACAAGAAACCATGATAGTTAGAGCACTAGCTGGCTCCATTCAGTTGGCTGAATCTATCTACTAGCATCCATAGTTCACTGAAGGATATTACATAAATAAGAATGTGGTGGCATAATTGAGTACGTTGTACCAAAACAAAACAGATAAAATGAATGCTATATTGGACTGTAGGAGTTCTACTTGTTAAACAAGTAGTATACCATAAGCGATGATGGAATTTTCTGAGAGAGGTATAATGGTTTACCTGAGTAACGAGAACGGAATTGAGGTTTGGATGTGCGTTTTGGGTAGCAAATAGATGGCCTATATCCGAAGTGATAAAGATTATGAGCAGCAAATATCTTAGGCAATTTAAGTGTCATTCACTAGGCAACATTGTCTTCCTAAGTAGGCAAATTTATGTATTCTGAAAAAGCAAATAGTCGGATGCATAAAAGCACAAAAGCTGGAACAACATTCTAAAAAACACACATGCACATTTTCTGATCATAATAAAAAAGCAATTATGAACTGTGGTGTGCTAATCAAAACATCTATGTCAGTAATTTATATATTCTGAAATAGCAAGCACAGTGTATGTGTTCTCTTGCAATCTGTATCTGTCATTTATTCGAAACAGAGCATGCAAGACATATGAGTAGAACTCACCAAAGTTGCATAGTGCCTTTTCATGAATGACAAGCAATGAAAATAAAGTTGCATTCCAGGAAATAGAAGCTGCGAAGCAAGAACTCAAATGAAAGTGGTTGTATTTCTCATCACCCTTTTTTTGTTGTGTTGCTTGCCATTCATGTCAGCCTACAAATATTTGTCTTAAAACGCTAAGCACCTACATTGTTAAACCAGGTAGGCAATTTGTGAATAGCAAGAACAGAAAATTTGGGTGCAATTCAGGAATGCAGGCTGCCACTAATAAGATCAGGGTAGGTTACAAAAGTGAAGAGCAGTTCTTTTGGAACTGCACTAACACATTGACTAAACTATCTGACATAAGGCAAACTGATGTGGGCAATTTCGATCTGGCATCACATCAACCTATGGGCAACACCGAGTGCTTTGCCAAAATCAAAAATTGGCCAAAAGAAGGAAGAGCCGAACATATAATATCTCTATGAAGTCTATAGCTGATGAATTGATTTTATTAGAGTAAAAGCTAAGAGACAAAGAAGTTCGAACTAATCATCACCCGCCTCAGAGCATCTTAAATTCGTATGTACGTAAATAAAACATGAAGTCATAGGGTGCACTGCTAAAAGTAATTCCAGCTCCACATTGGCACATCATATCAGAATTTCATTAAACATCCTTCAGTTTCAATATCAAGCACAACAGTTTCCTCCTACATGCCTATTGTAATGGCTCAATCTGTAGTTGAACCTTAACCAGAACACATACTAGGGCTTTACGCACCACATGTTAATAGCATGAACTCTTATGCCTAAATCAATACAAATTTGGAAAATTAGCAGTGCTAAGATAACCATTCAAAATCTCAAGCATATACGGAATGTGATTTACAGAAATTCTATACTCACCGGCGTACTACCTGGCTGTCTCCACTCTCGCCACCTCGAAGGCCAGAGCAGGGAGTTGCTCGAACTGAATCTGCTCCGTTCTCACCTCCACCTCCTCTCCAGCCCCTAAAAAAGGCAGGAATCACGAAATTACTGAAGCAATATACTTAGTAAGCAATATACTAAATCAGATAATGAGCTATTAGGCAGATAACTAAAGGATGGAGTCCATAAAACAAGTGAGCAATCGTCCAGGTTGCAGCCCTGCCATCCGAATTTCCGAACGACACATTGTTTTAAGTGGCACTCAGCAACCAAAAAAAAAAACAAGCCATTGATAACAAAACTAGGCTGGAGAGCACCTTCCTGTGAATGTAAACATCACGATCGTAACCGCCGGTCTTTAGGATCTACTCCTATGATTAATGTCTATACAATTAGAACCATCACTGTAGCAACAGCTAATTGATTGACGGATAGATTCGCTTTTGAGCAGGTGACACAAGAGATACGCAAAATAAGATACTGAAGTGGTCGAAGTTGATCGGCTGATCACTACGGTGGACTGATTCCAAGTGGCTCAAAATATCCGGAAGCCATCGCGCTAGATGGCTAGATTGGTAGGCAAATAGATCTGCTGTTGGTTGGGTTCATTTCATTCATTAATGCTAATTGCTAAACCAGGGAAGAAAATTGTTCTAGCAATGAAAAAAATGCAACACTAAATTGCTCATTACACTTGGCAATGGCGCTACTGTAATCAAGCTCAATTCAATCCCTCCGGTCTCTAAAACTGCATAAGAACACTGCAACCAACAACAAATCTAGAGAAAATTTACCATCACCGCCAATGGATCGGAACCATGCCGCCGCTGTCACCGGTGTTAGCTCTTCCAGGCGTAGATCAGCAGCGAGAAGCCGTCGCGCACTGCATCTCGGCCTCCTCGGGGCTGTCCATCACCATGGAGCCACTGGCCCACGACGCCGTTGAGGATGCCACGGACGCCGACGATGGCGAGCTCTCCTTGGCCAGCCTCCGCCCCTGCTCTTCCTCCTCTCGCCGTTGCTGCACGTCTCGCTCCAGTCCCGTTGCCCCCACCGCGCGAGGTACCCTCCCCAGGCGCCCGTGTTCCTCCTCGCGGCAGCCGTGTCGGGGGAGGGATCCTTCCCAAATCCGCCTCGCGCTCCTCGCCGCCGCTGGCGAAATCGAACCGGAAGAGGAGCACCGTGTGGGCGTGGGCGTGGGCGTGCGTCGAGGCGTCCGCGGGGGCGGCTCGCACGGGGGAAGAGCCAGTTGTGGAGGTCCCAGGAGACCTGGACGCCGTCGCAGGGAGACCTCTCCCAAATGCCCCGAGTCGGCGCCGGGGGAGCGAGTCCACTGGACCAGGCGTGCTCCGCGAGGACGAGCAGCTCCTCCTCCGCCTGGATCCAGAAACTGAGCGCGCGGAGAGAGATGGGCGAGTGGAGTGGAACACGGGCGATTGCGCAAGGAGAGAGAGGAGACGGGCGAGTAGGCAGCCGTGCTAAGCGATAGATAAGGCGAGCAGATAAGCCGTGCGTGCGGTTGGACTAATTTACGGCCGGCCAACCAGAAGTCCCTATTTTCCTTGTATGGGCTTTCAAGTGTCAATTTCTGATATTCATTCATGGACTCAAATAACACTTTACCGAGTCCACATTGGCTCCACGCTGATGCATGTTTTTTTCCCGGTCAAATAAAGTACTATAAATATATTGATTGGACATAGGAGTACTCCCTCCGTCCCACAAATAAAAATACATCTAGCATTCAAAAAAATTTCCATAAATATGTGTCACCTATAGGCTACTGTGTTGCCAACGTGACAGAGCACATCGTCAGTTCGTGTGGGTCCGAGAACAAAAAAAATAAAAAAAAATCAACGGAGCCACCTGCATCCAGAAGCGCCCGTAATCAGTACTACCGTCCACTCGTTCGCATACACATCGTCTCTGTAACAGAACCGACCAATTATACGAAATTAAGTAAGAAAATCATCCGCCAGAGCAGACGATTTAGCAAACTTAAGCCCGTATAACCCGGTAGTCCGTGAAATCGCGAAAGATTTCAAACCAACTCGTGTCCCAGCCATGATCGTAATAAGTTTAGCGGTCACCATCACATATTACATAAAAGTTCGCAATCTCATATACATCAGAGTTTAAACATAGTTATTACAAACCAGTTCGAATAAAAGTAGCGGAAGTCATTTGTTCAAACCACACACACTCTCACGCAGAGTTTAAATATAGTGCCAGCGAATGATCATCTCCAACAAAAGCATTAGATGAGGCGTAAGGAATGACCATGCCCATGGTCCTAAGCATCACCCATCGCAGGATAGAGGCGCTTGATACAATAGCCGTAATACATACCGCCCATCTCGCAACAAGTGGGAATAAAACCACGAGTACGAGAAGGTACTCACCTAGACTTACCCGACATAACCGAAAAATAAATGACACCAAGGAATTATGAAGGCTTTATAGTAGGGTAGTGACTCATTTGCAAAAGAAGCATTTTTAGCATTTCAAGAACCTTTCTAAAAGCATTATTGTCAAGTTAATTATTATTAACTCATCGACTAGATTTGCATCTATACTAGAGTAAACATGTGATTAAGCAATTAATGATAACCACCGATCATTAAACAACTTCCATACTTGTCATATTCACTATAATCGTCCAAGTGTTCCATAAACATTTACTACGATGAAGTAACTCAAGTCAAGTGCTCACTATCCGGGAGCGATGGCGATTCAATCGATTCCTAACCACCGGGTGATTTATTCCTTACACAAATCTCACTCACCCGCTAAAGTGAGATATTGATCACCGAAGTCAACTTTCCGGTATCTCGAGTTTGCCAGAACCACATGTACCGGGGCCGACCGATCGCACTTTGGTCTTATCATCCCGCCCCGTGTCCTACCACACCTGCCGGCCACAATCAAAGCTGCCGGGCAATCTACTCGGCCCGAAAAATCTCCCGACTTTCATGGTCGGAAGGTACTTTATCCGGCCCCTAAATGTAAGGCATGCGTCAACATGACTCGAGGCCCAACAACGGTCGGTCCTTAATCGACCTACGCATGTAAACACTACGGTCCAAAACTACGCAAGTCTCCGTCCCGGTCTCAACTTCATTTAACACTTAGTTATACCATGACTTCATAGCCATCCAAGCGAGATCCGTAACCACCTATAGCTCGCGGTGACAGAAATCACCCGACTTTCTACCGGTCTAAAGCCAGCTAAGCATTGACTCATTGCGGATACCGGGGTAACAAGGATATAGTATAACAAAGGTAAACAAGGTATAATGCGAAAGAACGGTTTGCAAACAACTCCCCGAAACGTAATGCATCAATTTAAAGTAAAGTATTTAATGAAATCATTGCAAACCGGAGAAAGATGCTCGGGGCTTGCCTCTCTCGAAGGAGCTTCGAGGCGGTGATCGGGGCACTCCGGGAAGTTCTTCAACGTCCTCCTCGTCGGCTTCGGCACTTCCTGCTGCTTTGCACTCGAATCGCTCCTCGGGCTCCTCGGGAATGACGACTGGGTTCTCGGTTTGCGATCTGTATGATGCAATGCGTGTAAGTGCCTATGCAATCGGTGCATCGAAGGAGATGAATGCAATGGATATGTTGAATGTTACAAGGTAGTCACATCATCCAAGAAAATATACTACAAGCACATGTCATCTACGCATTCTCTTCTACTACTAATAGGTTAAGTCAACACATCTTATTAAATGCTTCAAAGATACACCAAAGCTAACATTATTAACTAACTTGCATTAAAGAGGATTATTTCATTTCATTTGAAACTAAGGCTACAACAGCAACCTATATTTCTGGTGCTTATAAAAATCTAAGAAAATTACAGTAGCATAGTACTACTCTAAGCAGACTACCATAAAATTTTCATGGCATTTGGATAAGTAAACTATCCTACATAAAAATGACAAGCTATAGCACAAAAATGAGCATGAAATTACTTTGTACTATGAAAAGTGTCAAACAACAGATTGAGTATTTTTCCTATGTTCTTTATAGTATATAATCACTATATAAAAATTGTCACATGCATGTTTTATACAAAATTTGTGCTCTAGCAAAAATAACAAAAATCAGCCATTAAAGGTACTTGAACTACACCTCAAAATTTTCCCACAGCACATGCATGAAACCTATTTTTCCTAGGAAGTACATGACATAAGAAGATTAACAAACTTGGAATCATATTTTTCTGAAGCCTATATATTTTTCTACATATTTTTCAAGTTATCAGCAATATTCAAGATTAAATAAAATCCTATAGAAAAGTATCTCAAAAATGACATGCACAATTTTTCCCAAGTAGATCTGGTGATAAGGAACCTAGAAAAATTTGTTTCAACAAATTTGGAGCAACTTTGAGTATCCAAATATTTTGCAAACCATTTCTGTTTTCAAATAATAATGAATAAATTGAAAACAAATCATTTAAATGCTACTGGGCCGGCCCGTGGAAATGAACTGGCCCACGGGCACAGCCGGCCTGCTCAGCCCGAGCGAAAAGGGTGAGCGGCGGCCTAGCTCGGGGCTCGGCCCACGGCCAACCTGGCCCAGCAACGGCCGAGCACAGGGGACACGCCACTGCGGCTGGGCCCTGCCGGTCAGCGACCGAGAGCAGGGGAGGCGCTCCGCCGGCCGATGATCACCGGCGGCAAGCCCTCCCGGTGGCGCGGGTGGTGCCAGCGTGTACGCCATGCCGAGCCGCAACGGCTGGGATGGTGGAGGTGGCCCGGCGGCGTGACGAGCCACCCGGCCGCGGCGGTGCTCTCGCCGGAGAGGAAGGAGGCGGCCGCGCTTGGTTCTTACCTCGACGACGACGGCTGCAAGCGAACGCAAGAAAGCGAGGGAGGCTAAGCGAGAGCTGGCCGCGGCGTGAATCGGGAATGGAGGCGTGGGAGGGTATCTTTGCCGGCGAGGCAACACGGCAAGCGATGGCGAGCTCGTGTTCTTGCGCGCAAGCGGAGCTTTTCTTCATTGTTCTTCTGCGGTGAGAGAGCGGAGGAGCAATGGGAGGAGGCAAGCGCTGCATGGCGAAGAAGAAGAAGCGCGTGGAGGTGGAGCCAGAGCCATGGCTGCCACAAGTGACGGGCGTTGTGGCCAGTAGGCGGCCCCGCCAGCGGCCCAGCGCTGCGACGCGGCTGGCCGACAGCGCTGTGTGTGTGGCAAAGGCGGAGGGCAGCCGGAGACGGGCGCGGTGTGTGATCTTTGGGCCGAGCAGGCGAGAGGCCAAGGCAATGGCAAGCTGGGAGGCTCATTGGCCCAGCTTCAGTGGGCGGGCAGAAAGCAATGGCGTGCCCGCTAAAAAAGAAAAAACATTCTTTTCAATTTCCATTTTCAATAAATTTTAAATAACAGTTTTCAAATATTATTTTGATCAAGAAAATGACCTCTTTTGAAAATGTACCAAAATGAAAGTTGTTTAGAATTTAATTCTCTACAACTTTGCTTTTATGACCAAAGTCCAATTCTATCTAGATTTTAAATTATACAATCAAAGTTAAATTTTAACTCAAAACCCTAATTTTTGAGAATTATTTTTAAAGAAAAATTTGGCAATAATTCAAATACAAACCTTGCTCCAAAAATTGTGCTAAACAATTCTAGATGATTTACAATCATAACCAAACAAGTTCTACTAACCTAGCAAGCAAGAATCGAGCAAAACAACTCTAATAAGTATATGCATCATTTACGTTTCACAAACATGTTTCAGTATGTTTCAAGAAATGTTTCATTATTATATGCAAGATTATGCATGCATGATTAGGATGCTTGATGATGCATGATATGCGTGATTCGCAGTGCCTAAATGCGGGCATAACACCGGGTGTTACTGACCCTCCCCTTATAAAAATCTCGTCCCGAGATTTGGGTTCTGAACCATTTGTTATAAAATTCTTCATAAGCTTTTTGCGAGATACTCTCCTGTTTCCCAAGTTGCATCTCCTCATCATGATGATCCCACTTTGTATCTTGTATGTTTTCACCACACTATTCCGAGTAGCACGTTCCTTAGTGTCTAACACCCGGATGGTTGCTCACGATACACCAAATCTGATTTGAGTTGAATACCTCGAGGTTCTATTCTTTCCTCCTAACACGCAAACATTTCTTGAGATGTGATACATGGAAAAGCGGGAAAATCAGACTCATTGTCTCGAGTAACTCTAACTTGTAGGCTACCGGACCTCTTTGTTCCAAGATCTTGTATGGTCCTACTGAATCTAGCGGCAAGCTTTCTTGGACTCAAACCTTTTCTTCTTCATTGGCGTGACTTTCGAGATAAACATAGTCACCAACTTCAAAACTAAGGGTCTCCTTCTTTTTCTGCATATAGCTTTTACGGCGTGATTGGGCAGCTTTCATATTCTCTTTGAATAATATGAACTTTCTTCTCGGCTTCTTCTACAAAGTCAATGCCATGATACCTTCTATCTCCGAGCTCGACC